ATACAGTAATGACCTAAGGGCCATTTTCCTGTAAAATATATATGTAAATACATTAATAAGTAAAAGGTCACCTTTTTTGTCTAAAATGAAGCTTAACAAACCGATCAGAAAATCGGACCCGGCGAATAAGGTTAGAAACGCAGGCATTAAGCGCACTGGAAACGCTCTCTTGGTTCGGGTCCGATGTGAATGCACCCAGTAGTTTCTAAATATGAATATTGTTTAGCTTTTGCAAATCACACCATTTACAACAACAAAAAATGGGCAGAAAACCTCTAAAACCTCGTCGTCGAAAATTTTCAATCGATTATTGCAAATATTTTTAGTGTAATGTAGGGCAAAGTATCGGAAATGATGCTGTCTCCAGCATTTCTTTTATTTGTTCAAAATAAAAAAGAAAAAAAAATGTATTGGATAAACATTATCGTCAGACAATCTGTAGAAAAGGCAATCACACAAAGTGTTTCTAGTGCACTGTGATTCCGAGAGATCTTTTCGACAAACACATGCCAAAGCTTACAGTAATATCTTTATATATAGGCCTATCAGTTGAATTTTAAGTTTCATAATTTTTAATACTGTCAGTAAAGTTTCAATTTTATCTACTAGTACATGATTCGGTTAGTCTTACTTTATTTGGGAAAGTGCAGCTGTAGTTATCTTGTTAAGGCCATCTCAGACAGCGTCGTACGACGCAGCCAGACGCGATTTGTTGTCGCGTCGGATATGTGTGAGTTGAACGCAGACGCGATGGTTTGCGTCGGAGGCACTCATCTCTACTATGATAGTGGATTACTTATTGGCCAATCATTGTACAAAAAAGTGACGCCACCGACGCCATATTTGAGGGCCTAATTGTGTTGTAGCAGTTTAAACAATTATATTTTGGCATTTGTTAAATTATTGTTAAAAATAACGATTCTTGCAATCGCGTCGTAGAATATTAAACATGTTTAAAATTTCCCACGATAGCTTAAGAATGTCCCCGAAGATAAATCGCGTCGGTCTGCGTATGACGACGCTGCCTGAGTTGGCCTTAAAAGAAACTTACGAAATATTATTCGTAAATATCTGTCTGTGAGCTTTTATAAGTCCAAACATATCTTTGTTTAGGTATGGTAGCAACTGTGTTTTAGAGAAGATTTTCTTTTAAAAGACATTAAACTATGTAAATCTTTTTAAGCAAGAAAATGTTTATAGTTAATTAAATTCATATGTAATATATACTTAATATTAGAAACTATAATTATCTGTTTCCTGTCTTACTGTACAAACTGTTGGTATTTAGATTTTAAAATATCCTCTTTTGAAATGGTGCCTATTCCACACGCTGTATTAGCACTCCTGTAAAATGCAGTCAATAGACTGGGTTGGGTTCACGGATCTAGCTGAGAACTATAAAACCCTTCTTCATAGCCCTAAACTTATTTAGATGGTGTTAACTAATATTTATTAAGTTATATCTGTTTTTCTTCCAAACCAGTGATTTTTTTTTAAATCTCGTTAAGGTTGTTGATTATTTGTTAAGAGAACTTTTTCTATGTTTATGTAAGACTAGGCCTACGTTCTAAACAGTTGATTGAAATTGAATGATGTAATTAATTTAGGGGTGTTTTTTCTCCTTCTCAGTCCCAGTAACAGTATTATCTTATTGTTATCGGATATTACCCCAACAAGGGTCAAGGAATTGGTCCGAAGGGTCTTTAGTCCGAAGGGTCTATGATCCGAAGTTCCATTGGTCCGAAGTAAATATATTTCAAATATATAGAAAATATAATTGAAAAAAACACATTGGGGACTACCAGTGCATACAATTATTGCTTGTTGAATGAAAAACCGAGAATATATATGGAGAAAAGCATATGCCTAGATCACATAATATATAATTTGTAAACGTTGATAGTATAAAAGAGAAGGATCTTACTTTAAATAAGCAATGTATCATGTAAAATGAAAAATCACTCAAGAAAGTAGATAAAAAACGCATTCGTGATTTCGGTGGTCAGTTACCTCTCTTAAATTATAGGCAACTAAAGAGCCAATTGACACATAGCAAGGAAAATTATTTTCCCCTCCCCCCACCCATTTTAATGTTTTATAGCGTTTTTTTTTTTTTTTAAATACTTCTAGGACAGAAATTGTTTTACTGACTATTGTCTGTTTTTTAGTGCAATTTACTGGCATATTTATTTATTTTTTAACAAATGTTAGTGTTGTACAGTAAATTCATGTTTTTAATTGGTTTTATGTAGGACAGGACCCCTTTGGAAATAAGTTTTACTTTTTTAAAGAAAACTTTAATGGGCCATCCTTACATCACTTTTTGTTTGCCCTGCCTTGTGCAAATTCTATCCGTTTTGTAAATAGTTTGATGATGTCAAATAAATTGAACTTGAACATGAACATGATAAATGCCAAAATTGGCCTCCTCTCACAATCGTGCATAAACAACTTCCGACACCTAACATTCCTTTTTTATTTGACAAGATCCCTCTGAATTAATTGAAAAAATTGAATTGAATTAAGTTTATGTTATGCACCTTAACTGACTGAGAAGGAAGAGAATACACAAACCCACACAACCTCCATAATACTGCTACAATGTAGTTATCACCACCCACGCATAAAGGTTGACTATTTTTTTTATTACTTTCACGTCGAGGCTTTATTTATATATTTATTTATATATTTATTTTTTGATGAGGCTTTACTACTTACTAATTTCTTATAAGCAAAAACTGGCGGCGATTAATACACGATTTCAAAATGTATATCTTACATTCCTGGAAAACCAGGTCACTAAAATTTTCGATTTTCTGACCAACGGACTTTCGGACCAAAGACGTTAGCAACGAATGTATGTTGTGTCAATGGCGATCGACTTCCCTTTTGTGCCTTGCGTAAAGTTCGGTGCAGTTTATTCAGCAATCTCCTTTACAAAAAACTATGAATACACAACCTCTTCTACACGGACGATAAACTGTGATAAGCGTTATGTTACTTTTATCTTTTCCAACTTACCAATGGACTGTTGTAACTCTTGTAGATCGGATTTGACACTCTCCAACAGAGAAGCCTGGCCCTCAACATAGCTGGCTAATGCAGGTAAGCTCTGGGATATCTGTTAAAGAGCATGACACAACTTTTCGATATTGCGTATAAAGCAACCTAGAGAAGTTTTGTTTGCAATTTTGTACAGTGAAACCGAATAATAATCGATTCTTTACAGCTTGACCTATTGTAAGGTTTTTTTATGATAACAAATTAATCGTTTTTTATCCACATGCACAAAACATCAGCAAAATTCAACCTAGTATATCGCAGTGAAAAATGTAAGGTAAGTTGCTTAAATATTTTAGTCACCTTATGAGATTTGTAAGTTAAGAATAATGCCTTATAATGCCTACAATAAGGAGAGAGATTGACGCAGAAAATTGAAGCGGTGAGACCTAAATTAAAATTAGGCAAAAATAATTATTCACTCAAAGACAAATCCATTGCTGGTATTAAAAATTCTAGTATACTTACTTGGGCTTCACTTGGATTAGCCAAGAAATAGGCCAGAATAGAGAGGATGAAAAAGACGTTCATAATATCTCAACAGGAAGAATTTTACGGAAACGAACTTGGTAGATTAAGAAAAGCAAATGACGCATCATAAAACATAGTTCATATATTATTCTCTATATGAAAATTAGGTCGTAGTCTGAACCGCGCATGCTCGTATCAAGTTCATTTTACATAAACAAAATACAATTAAACAAAAATATTTATGTTGATTGACATTGAATATCACTGGATACGAAAATGAGCAGTTCAAAACACGAACTGGCTTATTGTCAATACAATAATTGTTCATTCGCTGCCCCTCGTCACATGAAGTTTAGTCACGCATTTTTTGGCGTTCTTTATTTATTTGCAAATTGGATTATCACTACTGAACTTCCAATAATTAAAAAATACGATAAATTAAATAATACTTTAAAAAGTGACATTGTAGAATACAATGTTACTATATCAGGGGAGTATAGCGGAGGAGTATTCAGGTATTAGTCTAATACCTTCAAAATTTCAATAATATGCTTTCCTTATTTCGACAAATTAACGAAAACAGCGACATTTAGTATTATTACGGAGATTTTACATTATAAGTGACACAATTTGCCTTCCATAGGAGAGGTATTAAAATTGTCAAATAATTACCTCTTTTTGTCAAAGAAACACATATGAGGTAGGCGAATCGCAGAGAAAATATTAATCGTTGCGAAAATAGCAATGAAGGTATTAAAATGTGCTAGGAGTATGGAAGGCATCTAACAAAAATGTTATTATTGCTTTTTTTGAAATCCGATTGCAAAACCGTACGTATGCGCTCCTAGCTAGGGCTAAGTCGGTATGTAAACACTATTATATTCTCAATGATTTTATGGCAATGACGATCTATCAAGACCTTAGCCTTA